TGTTTGGTGGGACAGGGATTCAAACTCATGACCCTCAGATTGCAAGTTAAGAACCCTAACCACCTGGCTATGCTGGGCCCTAGCTGATTAATTCTGGTATTGAATACAAGTTCTACTGGCTAGTGATCTGTGACAAAAAAATGATTAATTTGAAATATTATTTACTTTTTATGCAGATTTAGTTAAAACCACACATTGGACTCATTAATAAATCTATGATAAACAAAAGTAAACAGTTTAATTTGATGTTCCATTACATTTTTTTAGACCTATATAAATTTCGTGCTTTACCTGCTTAGGTATTTAACACTATTACACCTATTCCTCACTAAGTAATCAACGGATTACTTATATAATTGACTAAAAGTAAGAAAGTATCACTATGAAATTAAAAAAATGAGCTAGATATTTAGCCTTAGTGAGTTCCTAAAACATAAACAAGTTTTATTTCATGGTAAACAATTATACTCAGTGTTTCCTACAAACAACTATCAATCCAAGACTATAAAAAAAATATTTTATTTTTAACAACAAAATTCTAATTAACCCTTTATAAACAGATTTCTTTGCTTACATTCATGATGATATAATCCTTTTGGCTGAGAAGAGGTGGGTAAAAATGCATTTCAGAGGTAAGTACGTGTTTGAAATTTATTTTATTTCTAAAAGTGTAAAATTCAAATCAGGTAGACTCAACTCTGAAATAATGAAAGCCAGAATAGAATTACTGGTACAGAGGGAACCAGTAAGTGTTAAAGGGAACACAGATTCCACAAAAGTAAAGTTCTACAACAAACAGATAAAGTAGCCAAGCAGAACTTAGGTAGAATCCAAAATCACAGGGTCAATGACCACAATTCACGGGAGAATCGAGTGGAGTGGATGATAGAGAGAACACTTGGAAAGGCATTCTTCTCAGCTGGCTACCTCCCCACCATGCACACCAATTAATAAGTTATATTTATATAAATGGGTGTCAGGAAGTAATAGTAGAACCTGTGCTTGTTGTAGGAGATTCTCAAACGAAGAGACCAGTAATAACTAAAAACTGGACACAAACCTGGGGAAAGGCCCCTTTCATCCTATACTGAAAGGGTCAGTCAAGTCATGAAACTAGCCCAATCAGTGGGCACCCAGAAAGAATCAAAAAGACCAAAGCATACCCCAAGATGGACAATGAAATGGGAACATCAATGAAATTTAAGGAAAAAAATAAAGATATAAGGTGTCCCCATCCTGATTGGAGCTATTAAACATCATATGGAGAACAAATGTCTTGATTGACATCCAAGGATGTGCAATTGGAGGTGTCATCAGATGGCATCTTCAGTCCATTCTGAGGGGGGAACTGCCCTCTCATGCAGCTACAGTGTAGAGGGTGAAATATTTTCTAGGACAAATGTAGGGGTATATGTCAACAGGCAAGAGTCCCAACTAGACAAATCGATAAACTGAATCTCACATTATAAGAACAAACAATGTTGTTTTTTTTTGTTAATATTATTTTATAATCAAATATTTTCTCAACTTTATACACTCCAGGAATTGTTAACCTGGGTGTTAGGCAGTATAGAAATACATACCTGGATTGCCTGACACAACCTATCTATGGGCTCCAGTGGTAAATACGCTGGTAACATACAATAACTCATCTAGTGAGAATTTGAGCTGGCTTGAAAAATCACAACCAGAGACAAAGAAAACCCAGAATCTGGAGATACAAATAGAATGTAAAGAAAATTTCAGAACATATTCAGATTCATCCACATGCCAGCCTGCAAGAAACCCTCTAAAGAGTAATAATTGCAAATAGGATGCCAAAGACATCAATAAATGATGACTTTGGTGACATAACCCAAATTTTATTTTAAGGTGTTCAGGAACATCACAGTAATTAGGATGGATCAAATGCACAAACCAATTTATCAATGTAAACAGATCAAGATCCGAGAAGCATGATTCATCATATGGTACAAACAATCTTTTCTGAGCCTTCCTGAAAGATTCAGTACAGGCAAGATAACAACTCATAGCCCCAATTGGACAAAAAAAAATGTTTTACAGAATGAAAATCAGGATCACACAGGGTAGTTAACCCAACAGATGAAAAACGATGGTTACCTTCTCCAAAGCTCAAGTTTTGGTGGGAAGGCGTGAACTGGGCATAAGTATAAGGCCTTCCAATTAAACAAGGTTTATGAAGCATCAAGGACATAGATATTAGAATGTATTTTGCCTGATTCAAGCAATAAAAGAAAATATGTTTTAAGGGATAGATGATAGAGTAAAAAAACAAACAGAAAAGCTGCCATCAGGTCAAAAGTGGAAGAAATGAAAACACTTAAGGGTACTAATCCCAAGTCCAATTTAAGAGTGTCTAGGAACTTGGGATTGTTGAAGATGAAAGGCTCAAAAGAGGTCCTTGAACAATGGGGACAAAAGTGATTGATGGTTTCTATGGCATCTGAAGGTGGTACATATGAGAGCTTTGTAACCAACTATGGAAGTATCTGATAAACCAAGACCATGAAACAAAAACATGAAGAAAGAAGAGCTGGAAATAGAGAAGAAAATACTTCTAATGCATGAGCCCCAAAGGTTAGCCAAAGAGGTTTGACAGACCAAGAGGGAAAAGCACTGACAAGAGTGGGCTAGTATTTGAGCCAAACAAAAAGAGAATTCAGCTTTTGAAGAAAGGACCTAGCAACAGCCTGCTGTGAAATTGTGTTTTTTTCCTTGAACTGTTTTGCTACTAAACCCCAAATGTACTATCTATTGTGTTGGTAATAAAAAAAGGGAAATGGGGTTAAGGATCATTCACCAGAGAATAGCCAGCAGGGTTGTCAAATCAATCTATGTAAGAGACTAAATAAATGAAAGGGTTAAAATATGCTGATTTTCCAAGCAAAAATGAAAAAGAAGACCCACAAAATTAGACTACTCAACAGAAAATGTATGGAGCCAAATGGAAGATTAGTGAGCTGATAAACAACAAAAATATAAGGAGCCAAATGGAAGAGCAGTGAACTGGTAAACAGCACCCCTATCAATTCAAAAGTATAGAAGAATTACAACTTCCACCCCAACTACATTATGTAATTCTCCCCCACTCCCTCCAAATAATGCATAAAAAAATGAAAGTGGTGAATGATCGTGAAATTAGTTAGACTTTACATTATAGAAACTCAAATGTATGAATTAGTTTTCTTGTTGAAAGTTGAGAGTGTTACTTATAAAAACTACAGTGTTCATTTGGTTTAGATATACAAGTTGCTTGAAATATGCAATTCAAATAAGTGGACTAAAGACTAGATAATGTTAGTGACAAGAAATGTTTTTCATGTGTAACATCAAGTGCTCATTTACAATAATTTCACTTTAAGTTAAAGACAAAAACCAAACATAATGCTAAAGGAATTTGTATAAAGATCTTAAAGGCTCACCTTTTCAAGGCTTGGACAACCAATTAAAGATTGGTTTTTGCAACCATCCATCCACTCCATTCCTGATAAACTTTCATTGCTAGCTGTCATATTTCCTTATAGTCTAATATTTTGATGAACTATAACTGTACTATGTTATTGCTCGACACTCAGTTTCAATCACACTAATATGAGGAAATGAATGTACCAGTTCTCATATTCTCTGTTTTTAATTAAAAATGAGGATCAACTTATATTTATATTTTAATGTAAAGATATAAGTACAAAAGTCACTTTATAACTTCTCCTTAATTATGAACTAGAAAATGATGCATATACAGTTTAAATTGTTTGCTGTTTTCTATGTGCCACTGGGGTGGATAGCAGGTGGAAATTCTCCATGACAGTATTTAGCCTTTCTATCTCTCTATGAGTTTTCGTACTGCACACTCTGTTATAGAGGAAAATGCATATAATCAATAGTTAAAAAACACAACTCATATTAAAGTATGTAAAATACATTTATTTTCAAACTACTAATTGTAATTGGATAACTGTGACAAGCCAGTTAAACACAAAGACACTTATCTAATGTATATTTAGTGGTCACTGAGTCAAAGCAAAAGAACTATAACTATGCAAATATACTTGAAAAAACAAAAATTACAATGAACTACTTTTGTATTACATATACTTAATCAGAGAAATAACGTCCACGTGTGATTTGGTTGTTTTTGGATGATATTCCTGTCAGAAGAATATTAATAGCTCCATCACTCAAAATAATTCTGTTTACCTTTTTGGACACAGTGTTTCACTTCTTTAACTTAATGTGTACAAACTACAAAGTCATGTAAAAATTATTTAAGTATAATTATTATAGTTTAAATTATAAAGTTAAAGCCTGTTATTATATATGTTATTTAACAAAACATAAGATCCAGCCAATTAATTACATTTTAAACTTCATTACAAGATCCAGTTTGTTATTTTAACACTATGCTATACCAAAAGATATGTTGCCCCTGAAAAATTATTGATGGGCAAAGCTTCCCTATTCCTACTCTGCTGAACTATATTACAAGAGCCAATCAGCTTCATATTTAAACACTACACTAAATGATCCAATCAGTTAACTATGTTTCAAGCTACATTATACGTTTGTTAATTGTGCTTTGTTTGTAAATGTATGTGTTTAAAGTTACCATACACATTACAGTTTAAGAATTTAATTCTTGATAAACAATTAACATTTACACAGTTTTAGTCAGCTTCTTTACAATACAAGTTTTTGACGTAAATGTTCACCTTCCACATTTAAAAACATGAAATTATACTTATGAATAAATAACACCACTCATAAAAATTCATATTCTAAACTTGAATAAATTTGTTTATCAAAATTACCTGAGATGATGTTCTGCACTTCGTCAGACAGAGTTCAAAATAATCAATGATGGAACCAAGAAGAACACTAAAGTTTCCCAAGACTTTACCCAAACTTTTCTGAAGCAGAAATTTCAGTTATAAAAAGAAAAACAACATTTTATACATGAGTTAATGCTAAACAACAACTACAGCAAAAGATGTGCTTACAATATAATAATCTATTACACATTACCTTAATTGCAGTTTAGTTTAAAAGAAATCCTATCCTCTTTGCTACTATACAAGATGCATGCATGTGAAGTTTGCAGTTCTAACACTGTTCCAGGAAATCCACACATTCTGTCAATCACCACAGAAGTCTGCCATATATTCCTGAGGATAACGATTTCATCCTCCTCACTGACTGCAGCTTGGTTGTCCCACGTTTTGATATGACACATTTGGATATATTTAAGACCAAAGGTCCATTTTTGCATGCAACTATATTTTGACAATCTAACTCTATTCATGATAATACTCACGTTTGTCTTAATTTGTTGAAATAACTGTTTTGATGTAAATTCACTCATAACCACATTAAAAGAATTCTCTGTTAACACTGAATATTCAGGTACAAAAACTACATATAAATAAAGATAAGAACTGTGCAATTAACTCGATATAATCAATAACCTGTCAGCATCAATTACATCGATTACTGTCAAGTAAAATAAGCAACTAATTGAAATTAGTGCTTCTGATTATTACATTTTTCAATTGTTCCAACTAAGTATCATGTGAAAATTACTGATTAGTTGAATGTAATCCATTAATGATTTTCACCATTAATTGATTATGAAACTTCCCTAAATGCCCACCCAGCTCTATAATGATACTGTAAAGACAAGTTCTATCACTTCTTAATTTTAGGTGTTCAATACCGATAATTTAAAAATTAAAAGATATTTTAATAAGTATTAAGAACATGGTAATACCAAAAAAAAAAAAAAAAAAAAACAGCTTTAATAAGGACGTTTAGGAATTTCCTTAAATTCCGTCATCAGTGTTAATATCCCCCACCCACCCACTCAAAAAATTAGTTCATAATATTCGAACTACATAAAAAAACATTCACCCGTATTCAATCGGAAGTTTGAAAGAACAGATTTAAATGGTAACAATACTGTTACGACAGTGGAAGTCCCGCGAAACTGGGAGCATGCCCACTGGAGTTTCTGAAAGGATCATGAATTTTCCTGGCAACTCTAGTTTGTTCGAGGCGCCCTCTTTTTTAGTATATAAGCCTGGCGATAAACAACCAGCGTGATCGAAGAGATATGCAGATAGATTGATTAGATAAATAATTATGCC